CTCTCTACAAGTCACTGTCTTTGCTGGAAGGTCTCAGAGGGGCCTGTTTTTCTCGCTCACAACACTTTTCCTGCCTGCCCTCCCGCAGGCCTCGGTTCATGCGTCCCCTCCTCATCTGAACACCCATTACCACCTTTACCTAGACCTGTCACCATCACATCACCCAATTTTTCTTTATAGAGCTTTTGTCACAGTTCTAGCCATGGCTTTTATTTGTTTATTGTCTTCTCTCCCCACCTGTGAAGGAAAAGACCTTGACTGTCTTGTTATAACCATATTTCCAGGGCTTAGGTGTACCTGGCACACACCGATATGTAAGAGGTATTCAATCCTGTTGAATGAATGAACTTCATGGGGGGGGGATTAAGATTTTAAGGTCCCCCACTTTTCCTAAGCACTATTATGGTACTTCTCCATATTTATTTCTAAGTAAACATTTTGGTGCTTCTCTTCATATTTAACTGAAACCAACATTATACCCTACACTTGCATGTACTGAAGGGAAAACGCTATGGAACTGATTATAACATCTCAGAGCCTGCCTTGCTGGCACCCTAAGTATATGACCTCTTTGTCAGCCTTTGGGGAATTAGGCACTCACCCATCTCTATACATGTGCTGGACACTGTTTTAACTTAAACTTGTCTATGTGTGGAAAACCCTTTGTGGAATTTTTTTAGGAATGTTATTAGTTTTAGTTAGTTTGGTTAGTTATAGTTTTGGATTAATAAGTCACTTCAATTATATAGGTCTTCATTAAATTCATTCATCAGCATTTTATAATTTGGGGCACACAGTTACTGTACATGTTTTAAATTATATTTATTTCATATTCTTTGGAACGATTGTAAATGATGCTGTTTTAAATTGCTATTTCCATATGTTATCAGCATATACAGAAGCGTTTTGAATAGAACAGGGAGAAGTGCGCCCTTCAATAGACTTGTGGAATTCTTTCCCTTTAACCAGCCACTTACCCCAACATTCAAGGTTCTCCACAGTGTGCCTCTGAATCTCTTTAATTTTACCTCACACCTAATTGCTAAATACCAGCTGCAACTGCTACTACTGGGTCTGCTCATCTCTCACCTGAATACACTTTCTTCATTCCACCTCCATGTCTTCGGGCATCCCGTTTCCTCTCTAGAAGAGTCCTTTTACTGATTCCTTTGCCACAAACTAAACTTTAATTATTTCAAGGAGCAGGTCATAGCTGCTCATAAGATGCCTTCCTTTAAAAATTACTCCTATACCAGTCACAGTGGCACACGCCTGTAATCCCATCTACCTAGGAGGCTGAGGCAGGAGGACCGCAAGTTCGAACCCAGCCTGAGCAATTTAGTGATACTCTAATTAAAAAAAAAAAAATGGTAGAGAACCCCTGGCTTCGATCCTTAGTACTGCAAAACAACCCCCACGTTGCTTTTCTGTGGCCTCTGAGCCCATATTATATGCCACTCAATCGTTAGTTTGTAATTAGCTTTAGTCTTGTTTCACTATGATGATCCAGAGCGGAGACTCCTAAAATAGCTCTCATAGCACCACACAGGGAAGACGCTCTAACTTAATTATAAACGAAGAAAGGGGGGAAAGTTTTAAGCGGTGTCAGTTAAAGCTATGCTACTGGGAAGGCGCTATGTACAGGGTAGAGTACACTGTAAATTGTCCTGAGTCTTTTATCCAGGTACATCTGTGTTGTCCACTCCTAGTATAAAGACTCTGACTCGTCCTTAAAGTCTCAGCCCCTCCAACCACGCCGATTTGAGACGCAGCTCCTTCCCAATTACTCCCTCCAAACTGTTTTAAAAACAGCAGATCTATGGTTAGAGCTCGAGTAATCCCAGCGAAGCTGCACTAGCATCTCCCGGCCACCAGAGGTCAGGGACCAAGCAGCGGAGAGAACGCTCCCCCTCCGAAAAAGTCTACAAGGGGTCAAAGGCACAGCTGAAAAGTTGGGGCTCCGTCTGTAGCTTTCACGCTTCCGGTACAGCATGAAGTCTGGGCTGTCTTCCATCTCCAGTGGGCTCATTTTCCTCCTCAAAAAGATGGGCTGAAAACACCCACACGCTTTCGCCATCGTGCTAACCTTAAATGATTACCAATCACAACGAATGCCCCTCAGCTGGAGGATTTAAAGGCAGAAGAGTAGCAACAGAGATGTATTACTTTCCAACCCACCCCAAACCCACTTCTTAGTGCTTCTGCCAATTAAAAAAGTCCTTAGGTAGCATCCATCCAAATCCCAACAGCAAACAGTGCCTTGAGGGGCCAGTGTCCCTATTCTGGTACAGTGCAAAGGGAATGTTTTAAGAGCTAGATTATTCCTACACACAAATTCTGGCTCAAGGAGCAGTCCGCTCGCAGCGCGCCTTTCTGTCATTAATCACATCTTTGTTCTGTGCTATCCACGTGAGTCCTTCTCAGAAGCAGCTTCAAGCTCAAATGCTCAAAGAACACTGGAATAAAGCTCTGATTGTCCTAAGTCAGTGATTCCAAGTCCTGGTTTGTCACCACCTCAGGTCTCTAGTTTTCCAGCGAGTATGTCATGCCTTCTCAAAACAAACCGATTTTAATGGACTCCGAAAACGCACGCTGTATGTGTCGCTAAATCAGCAAAGGTCTTGCACCTCTCGAGAGGCAATGTGTCTCAGGTGTGATTTAAAGATGATTCTGTGCTGTCTGGTGTAGAGAATATTTTAAGGAGAATTCTAGGCTGCTCACATTCATTTTATTTGTAAATACTGTATAAGCAAAATAAAAAAGGAACATTCATGGGGCGTGGGGGGGGGGAGCTTTCAACGACAGAGTTGACCGAATGCCTGCCAACACGAGTGCGATTTTTCTTAAAGGACCTGTAACTTCTCTCTCCGAAGTCAGCAGAACCCTGCCTCTGGGACTCGAAAGACTGTTTCGGTTTTTTTCTTTTCTTTCTTTCTTTCTTTCTTTTTTTTTTTTAAAGAATGACTGCAATTCTCTCAAATCACGGTTTGCGTTTCTCACGTTGGCGGAGCAGCAGACAAGAACCTAAGGCTCTGGGCGCAGGCTGTGGTCTGGGCGGGCGGAACCTCCACTACCTGTCCGGGCGCAGCGCCGCGGGGACCCAGCCCGGGTCGGGGACCGCGAGCCCGGCGCGGCGGGCGCGGGA